ACTGGGAAAAAACATTTCTTTATGTATTTGTGCACGGGGGACATTGTTGTGTTGAAACTAAAGCCTGAGCAATATATTGGAGATGCAGATGATGACCAATATGTTCCCAAAGTGCGCCGATATGGAAACAATTTTTGCGGTCATATATTGTTGTAGTGCAAAATGTATTCAGCAGAGGGCACTGTGATTTACAATACTGTGGCAAGCAGCACAGATTAAGAGAGGAGAAGCAGCTCTCGGCAATGCCAGCTAGAATTGGTTGACAATTAAATTATTCTTTAACAAAGTTATTTGTTTAAGAAAGTAGCCTTCTGAGTGCCTTTGCAGAGTCATATCAGTCCAGCTCAAAAATGTACCAGTCTTCCATATCCCGTATCATTTGGACTTTCCTCAAGCTGTTGACACAAAGTTGGATTAAACCATTGCATTAAAATGTCATTGTACACTGTAGCATTGAGATGTCCTTTCAGTGGAACTAAGGGACCAAACCCAAACCAGGAAAAATAGACCCAAGATTACACAGACGCATATGTTGACAGAACACACACACTATTGGCCATACGGTGTACAGTGCAGACTTTTCAAATCAATCTGCACTTACAGATGCACAGCTACACATGCGTAACTCATACTATACAACGATAAACTACTATCTGCCTAGGTGGTAGGCAAAACATGTAAAACATAACAGAACTCGTTGAAAATGTCAGAAATACTGTAACATATTTATGATTTGTATAATCTTGAAACTATACTTGACCCCTCAGTAGCCCTCTGACACGGCTCACAAGGCACGACCTCCGACCTGTATTCACTGATCGCTCACATAGAAGGAAACAAATTGCACAGATACCCTTGCTATGATTAAAGTCACCTCATGAACTGTAAGTTCATTCAGCTCCAAAATTATAGGCACTAAAATCAGTTCAGACCCCTCAGAGCCGTTTTGCACAATGTCGTCACTATACATCATCTGCAGCCACATGTACTTATCTAATATGATCAGCCATGATTTTTACACACATTACTAAAAGCTAATGGAAGAGCTCATCATGGAGGACGGTGATCATGCCATGACACTGTGTTATGCAAACTAAGCTGTAGCATCAGTCCAGCAAGTATTGCTGTAAATAATGCACTGACCCAAAATATTTTTGGTTCTCGAGCCAGCCCGCATTTCCACCAATTCCACCACCGGAACCACTGTATTCAAGGATGTGTCATCAACCTGTAGAATATGACACGCCCACTTTGGTTCCCAAAGAAAACCTGCTATTTTTCGGTTCCAGTTGGGAGCCAACGTTTTGGGTTCCGAACTGATTCATTTTTGGTCTAAATACTCTGAACGGTTCAAAAATACTAGCATTGCAGGAACCAGAATGGAGCTGGATCCCCGTTGGTGGATAAGACGAATCAGCTGTGTTTGCCAGCAGCACCTGGATACAGTGATCCATCAGTATGGAAACTACTACGAACACTCTGAAAAAGGTTGATTTCAACACAGCCTGTTGGATTTATTTGTTTAAATTTGTGATTCATCTTCATGGAAGAGAAAGACTCCTTTAGTCAAAATGTTTGACTGTTTGTCTAAGGTTGAAGTTAATGTCATCTCTGTGCATCAAGGTCTGAGAACTGTTTAGCCTAGCTTAGCATAAAGACTGGAAGAACCAAGCACTTGTCCACAATTCCTCCAAGTCATAAATCTCTAAAATACCTAAATGAGCACCGATGATCTGGTAGCCCTATTAGTATTGTTTTTCAGTTCAACAACGCATTAGACCATAAAATGACATCATATTTTCTGACCTGCCACATCTGAAAACACTGACCTCTTAATACCTTATAGAGTTGTTATTCAGTCCCTCCAGAAAGTTATGTTGTGATAGAAACAATTAACACAAATTCAACCAATCCCTGTGAATTCTGTGCAAAGTTTTGTCCAATCACCCCAACTAATTGGCAAATTTGACCCATCATTGTAGTTTCCTTTGAGTTTTATAGCAGTCCCAAAACGTTGAGCCATATGTGACCAAACTACAAACAATTTCATTCTCACTCATTCTCAAGAATAAGATGCCTTTTATTTATTTAAAAAACAACATGCATCACAATTTAGAAAAGCTGCCATAAAATCAGGCATTTGAGGCCAAAACAATCCCCCAAAAAGATAAAGAAGAAAATCTTGGAGGGACTGGGTATTGTGAATGTGGTTACACATTCAGCAGAAAGAGCATCAGTCATTTGGAATTGTGGGCTAAAAGAAGCTCAAGATCCTGGTAGAGGTGAGAGGAACTGCAGAGTTGGGAATAATTATTTGTGTGTTCCAGGAGGAACATTAGATTACACATAGCCATCTGATCTATTCTTAATATAAAAATATTCATTAGTGCAGCTTTATGTAAAAGTTATGACTTTCAGGTCAAGGTTGTGACTTGGACTTCCTATCTCATAATTGATTTGGCTTGGTAAGAGACTACCCTTACTTATTTTGTCATGACATAGCAAAAAGAGGTTTTAAATTGATTTTCTCAAGAGAAATGGGATTCAATTTGTTACTAAGAAGTAGTAGAAGTACTAAGAAAGAAACCCAAATACCTACAGTCTCAAACTTGACTCACAGGTGTGTTGAAGACCTTTTTCAGAGTCTGCTTTGATCTTTTGTATACTTGGTGCATGTAAACCTTTTAGCAAAGAAGAAATACTGCAGGCAGGTGAATGAATAAATGGGTGTTTTCTGGAAAAATTGAGAGCTGGGCCCTTGGGTGACCCAGAGACGCTTAAAATAACAGATGTAAGAGTAACCAGTAGCCAGTGATCTTTGAGGACTCGAGATCCAAAAAGTGACAGAAGTAGTAAAACAGTGGCACAGCCAGCAACCAACAGAAGCTCCTGTTGGCCAGGGCTCTATTTGAAAAGGGCTGTAGAAAACCTGTTTGTCATGGCACTGTTGGATTCATGGCATTAACGTACACACACACGTCTACTCTACTCTCAGTGTTAGAACCAGCACAGACCCGCATACGACACTGGCATCAATAGAAAACACTAATGTACACGGATGGAGCAGAGCCCCGGTGAGTCAGATCAGAGGATTCTTCAAATTGCACTTTGCGTCCCAACATGACACACAGTCTGGTCTCTCCGTCTCCCAACCAAGTGTGGTGAATACACTCACAGACTGAACACACACACAACTCCACAAGGTCCGGTGTTGGTTCTCCATGTGTTTTAGGCTATTGCAGGTATTGGGTTTGACTGTAGCACCTGTAGACTGGTCTGAAGAAGGAGCGTTGTAAGGCTGATACCGATGATGCGTTCCAGACATGTCCAAAAATGTGAAATTCTCCAGTTATATAAAATGCCATTGGCCCCGAAAGTAAGAACTATAAAGCTTAGAGGGGTTGGTGAGCTCAAAGCGATGGGAGATGCAGTTATCTGACGTCAATCTAATGTAGCAACACACGATGTAAACACCTACACAGTCACACTGCTTTAGAAACGGTTTAAGCCTTTAATGATGAATCTATATATTTTTGTTTTTGCATCACATCATATTAACCCCAGTGCAGCACATTTAATTGTAGCCTATTTGTTTAATGAGTTTCAGTTTGTATCTTTAAAGTGGTGTCCCCAGGTGTCCTTGAGAGGCTTCCAGGGGTTCTGCAGCAAAAAGGGGAATCATTTATTTCTACTGTAGTTCCATATTTAGGTTATGGGTTTCATACACTTTCTGTGATAAAACATCTCAAAGAAAAAATGCCTATCAGATGGAAGACCCTAGGGCAAAAATATCTGTGGTCTAATTTGTGTCTGTTGAGTGGCGTTTTCAGACTATTCTGACTGGGGTTGCACAAGTGGCCCTGACTTATGCAGGGGTGCCATCAAGTATGTGTCAGCTTTCCATTCATTCCCATTATATGCAATTCCACTAACGTTTATGGACCCCAGTATATAGAAAATAACACATTTATACCACACGGAAAACCCTTAGAACCCATTTTCATTCAGATATCTTTGAGGTCAGAGGTCAAGGAATCTAATTGAAAACGACCATGCCAAACTTTAGCCCAACTTTGGAGCATTATTTAGCCATAGTTACACTCTAAAAAGTCATTCAGTTGACATATTACCACCACTTAATTAAGTGCACTATCGCAAGATAAAGAGTCTAATTTCATTTAGATAATGTGGAATTTTTTTTTACATTTTTACGAGTAGCCTACTCAACCAAAAAAATAGTCTTTATGCTCCCAATAGTTGGTTGCAATTCGGACATAACTGGGATTTTCCATTTTCCAGCTGCGTCTGGAACGCACCACGACTTCGCCACAGGCAGACGGCTCTCGCGCACCCTGGGCCCTCAGCCCGGGCCCTCAGCCCGGGCTCTTAAGACTGGGTGACGGCCAGGGTGTTGACGTACCCGTGCGGACACATGTCGTTCTCGGACACGCAGTGGGAGAACTGGGCCGGGTTGCTCCCGCCGGCCAGCCTCCGGACCCCCTGCACCGCCGCGCACTGCTCCACCAGCTCCAGAAGCTTACACACCAGGAAGAAGATGTTTTTGAACATGAACACCGACACCGGCATCTTGTACACGTAGACCTGGAAGCACCTGACCACCAGCAGGGGTGCGTTGACCACCAGGCCGGTGGAGAAGCGGGCCCAAAGCCACCGGCAGCGCAGCTCGGACGCCGTCAGCTCGTAGAGCCAGATCACCGGCACGGCCAGGGCCACGAAATACACCGAAATCACGGTGTACTTCAAGTAGACGACGGGGATCTCGTTCCGCAGCAGCATCTCTACGAGCGTGAAGCTGTCCAGCAGGTCCAGGCAGGTGCTCATGAAGCAGCTGTGGGAGCGGTGCCGCGTCGCACCGTTCAGGTCCTCGATGATGGAGTTGATGAGGCAGAAGAGCAGTGGCGCGGACAGCAGCATGATGATCTTGAAGCCAGTCACTCCGCACGGGACCTTGAGCGCGATCAGGTCCAGGATGGAGGTCTCCAGGATGAGCACCACCTTCGGAGTACAGGCGATGACATAGATGAGCCAGGCCAGGTAGGCGTAGGTGAACTCCCCGAGGTTGCAGCCGAAGATGGAGCTCTTCTGGTGGAAGCCGCAGGCCCGCTCCCTCTTGCTCCGCGCGTTCTTCATGAAGAAAATCCCCCAGCCCGAGATCACCACCAGGTCCGTGGCTATCCAGGAGCACCAGTACAGGTCGGTGAAGATGATGAGGTAGAAGTCCAGAATGCCGCCCTGGAAGATGAGGAGGAGGAAGCAGAGCGCCTTGTAGAGCACACTCCGCTTGGATTTGTGCGCCAGCAGCGGAGCGCTCTGGATGAACTCCCCCGATGTCATGATGCAGGCGGCGGCCGCGGCTGAGGAGGAGACCAGGGGCTGGATGCTGCCGCTCTCCTCCGGGATGATGCTGCCGCTGGTGGTCTGGGTGTCCCGCCTCCTGCTCAGCCGCCCGGATTCCGGAGAAGAGGAGACGGGGGAGTCTGGGCAGTAGCTCGCTTGGGATCGGAGATAGTCGGCCTTCGGATTGTCGTTCCCAGTTTCTGAGATCATTGTATTTGTGCGGTCGCCTCCCTTTCTTCCCCTTTCTTCCTTCCTGATGCTTTTAAAGGAAGAGAGAGACAGACATGCGCAAAGGAAGGTATGGACTCAGATGGAATGGACTATTTATATTTAATTGACTGCATTGAATACATTTCAAATAACACTGTAGCATTGTTACTCACTGAGATATTTATTTGATAGGCTATGTAGATCAATTCAGATCAAATCAATATTATTGGTTAGATGTTAGTTAATCTACTCATGTTGAATCTATACCTATAAAGGCTATCATTTAGTTGACTTACAGTGCAGCTGCTTCACTGTTCTTCAGGATGTTCATTCATTCCAGATTATTTAGTCTAGCTCCAAAGTGCTGCTTTGTTTCCCCTCAGAGCTCTTAAAGTGCTGTTGGTGTTTGTAATGTCCAGACAATAATGCTCCAGTTAAATATACAATGGCAGAATTATAACAAACATATGGCCTAAAATAAAAATACATTTAAGCATCCACTAATTCAGTGGTTCTCAACATAGGGTTCGGGGACCACCAAGGGTCCTTGAGGGAGTTGCAAGGGCTCCCCCAGCAGGACTGTTAAACTTGTTACTTACTTTACTTATTACTTTATTTAAACACTCCACTATGTTTACCAGCTGGTCTCTAACTGGGTCTGTCTGCTGTGGAGCAGGTATGCTTTACTAGTCAGTCCCTCCAAGTTGCAATCGCCACAATAGAAGCTGCAGTTGAGAATATTTATAAAAACAACTTTGTGGCCTATTTGTTGAAACATTCACTAAACCTGGCAGTAGGACATGAGACAGAAAATCTGTGAAAAATCAGCTTCCTCTGGATTCTCCTAGTGCTCCTAATGGGATTTGCAAGAATCCACCGGGTCCTGAATGAAAACAACCAATCAGAGCCGAGAAAAACGAGTTGGTTGTCGAGTCTCAATCTGGGAATGAGACTCAACAACCAGCATCTTTCTATCTTTCTCAGCTCTAGTTGGTTGTTTTCAAGCAGACAAGACAAGCATAAAGATTTAGATTCCAGACAGAGCAGAGATTGATAATAAACTTTAATTTCAAGTTAAGATGGATGGCTGTGAACATAGAAAACACACATTTCAGTATAAACATATGCATTCCAATGGAGTTCAACAGGTTGAGACCAGCTATCAGAAGTCTGTGGATGAATATCTCAGCAGCAAAGCTTAATTTGCATTACTCAGTTAAGCCGACAAAACAGTGAATCTACACTTCATACAGGTGTTGTGGGAAATAAAAAAAAGTCTCTGCTCCACGATTCTCTGCACTGCAGGTCTGCTGAAGAGTTTCTAATCACAAATGTCGTCTGAAACCTGGTTTAGAAGAAGGGCTTGCCTTTTGGTACCACAGGTGTTCCTGATGCTGAGATTCAGGATGGTGGAGGGGGAAAAAAGATTTTTATTTTGTCCATTTGACTGAAGTAGCAGTTTACTGATGTATAATTGGATTTTTATGCAAAACTACAAGAAGTCAGATATTTGTAGTTCGATCACAGAAAGACAAAGTATAGTACTTAACCTTAATTGACCCTTCCTAAATCTCGCCTCTTTTTGCTCAAACCTTGGTCAGAACCTAGCTAGCATTTTGCTAACATTAGCTAATATGTCACTTTTATCTTTTAACCATCTTCAAAATGTGTCTTTTCAACATAGACGAGCACATAGCATATCTAAGTGCAGAAGTTCTGACCGAGCATTCCTCAACTGTAACTGGAACACAGAGCAAAAAGGGGCGGGACTTAAGAAGGTTCAACTGCACAGTAACTTGATTCAAAGGAAGTATGTTTCGCAGACTGCTTCAATAGGTGCACAGGTGCATGTGAGAGAGGGAGTTAAAGAGGAAGGTTGGGGTCATTTAGCCTATAGCCAATTAGCAGGTTTATCCCTAGTGCTGATCCAGGACCTGTCATACAAGGTATCAGGGCCACAGACTGTATGAAAGAAGTGGACACAGCCAGTTTGGCATTTTCGTCGCCATCTTTGTTGTTTTTGGAGCCAGAAGTGACCATATTTGGATGAGTGGTGGCGATGAGGAGAAACTAATTTATCGTAAAAGATGCTTAAAATATGGCAGGACCAGGTATCATTAACATAGCTAACACTAAAGCTATCAGCTATCAGCCACAATGACTGATAGAAATTGGGATGCAAATTTTGCATCCCAATCCCGGAGGCTACGTCCACTTCTATACAGTCTATCATCAGAGCCCTAACTCACCATCTCTGTAACCCAGACACTTCAGTCACTGAGCAAAAATGTCTGACTGACTGCAGTGCTGCCCTGGTGGCTGGAAGTTATAGGAAATATGTTCAGTAGTACTGCTAGAATATCGGTTCAGCCACAGCTAACCCTTCCTAAGACTTTAAGCCTTTTTGCTTTGTGCTCTAATAACAGTTTAGCAAGCCTTGGTCAACTTCCTCCTTTCCTGTACTTATTTATGCTATGTGCTAAGCTCATCTATGTTGATGAGACAACCACATTTTGATGTTGGTTAAAAAGATAAAAAGGTTATATATAGATATATATAAAAAAAATCACATTTTAAGTTAACCATTTTCAAAATGTGGTTGTCTTTTCAACACAGAGTCTAGCACATAGCATAAATAAGTACAGGAAAGGAGAAAACTGACTGAGGTTCTGACCGAGGAACCGTTCAGTTCAACTGTTATTGGAGCACAGAGGAATAAGAGGCGGGAAAAGTCAGTTGGCAGCACTGAGCAGCATTCTGTAGGCTCAAATTAGTGTGCTCAAGATCAGTTTAAATCCCATGGTATTAGATATGCCTTTTTACATTATTTCTGTACCAAATGTTATGAACCCCTGGGTGCCTAAAATGTTTGAGTTGCAAAGATGGCCGTCAAGGATCAGGGCTAGTGGTCACCTTGCTTTAAATTGCCACCAACCCTAAGAGCTTGTGTTCAATTATAATTTAAATTCTTTCAACCCTGAAAAAAACCAGGTAAAGATTTCTAGGGGACACATTAAATACTTTGCAGTACAATATGAAAATGGTTATGGTAAATGTATTAATCATCAGCACAATATAATGGCTATCATCAGCATTAATAAAGAAAAAAAAAAAAAAAAAAGGCCCGGCCTTCAAAAACCGCAAGTAAAATCTTACAACATGCCCATCACGATTACAGTAAATGGTGCTGAGTAAGTTTGAGTCCATCCTCAGAGTCTCAGAAATACATATTAACACCTGGGTAGATGATAAACAAGTCAAACCCACACCCACAAATAAACTTGACAATGTTTATTAGCAATATTTGAAGAAAGTTATAATTTTTGTTAAATCTTATATTGAGTTCTTTTTGTCATTTTATTATTTTACCTCTTAACATGAACTGCACAAGATAAGACTCACGAGGATAGATGTCTAGAAAATGTTTAGCACGAGCGCACTGACTTGTTGGATTTTTAATCTTTTTTTTATCTTTTATGAGTTCATTTATTAATGGCCTGCTTAAAGGCACTGCCACAATACAGGGGGTGGGGGAAAAGCTACTGTCCATCACTCGCACAAGACAGTCCATTCTAGTGTCTAGTATACATATGGAGGAGGAGGGGGTGGGGCAGGGTTAGTCGTAGGGGCCGCTATAGGTAAATCTCATAGAAATCGTCCAGCTCCTCGTGAAACAAGTCCCATTCATCCTCTGAATCTGTCACCTCATCATCGGTTCCTGCCGCAAGCAGCATGAGGAGCATCTCGCTCAGCTCAAACGTCACCATCTCCTCGTCCTCGTTATCGAATGAATCGGTGCTTTCCCGCTCGTCGAAGATGTCCCACAGCGGCGTCCGCCTCGAGTTCTGGAGCGGGAAGGGGAGTTTTATTTTCAAACAAGAATCTATTCTGGGGATAATAACTTAATGTGATGCAGCTGTTATTATCAATCCTGGTCTACATAAACCCATTTCTGCCAGCAAATAATTCAATGTTAGGAATGACAACAATTAGGTTCTCACAGATTTATGGTACTAATTCAGAATTCTCATTTATTAGGTCAGGATTCTGAGATTAATCATTTTGACTTCCTACCTCTAAATGATGCCAAATGGCAGAATTATGTCATACTCCCACTGCCTGTATTGCTATCGCAGCCTCTCTGTGGTTTGTGTACATGGCCTGTCTGCTCCGTGTGCAGCAGAGTAGAGCGACTGAAACTGCTGTTTATATCACCTATGTTGATGACATTTATTTCAACCAAACCAGAACAGTGAAAGACTAACTTTTGACTGTTTTGGTGAGTTTTTTTATTTTGTTTCTGTCCACTTTGAATGAAGTCACAATATTACACAAGGTAATAGTTTTTTGTCTATGCAGTCTGGTGGGCAGTGAAAATAATATTATATTATAATATAATAATTAAACAAAAGGTCTCTCTCTTTAAGGATCCTTTCCATAATGTCAGACGCTTACAACAACAATTTGAGCCCGTCAGTGGCAAAAACAACCACTCTGCCGCATTTGTCCCCAAACATTACCTAACATTACATGGCAGCCACTGTACTGTACTGCATTCTCCATTTTCTTATCTATCTTGATAAACAAAGTATTTATATGACCAACTCATATTAGGGGATTGTTGGAACAGTGGAAAGACAAAGACAGGTTTTTGGTGTTTCTGTCCAGTTTGAAGTATATTTTACAATTATCTGCTACATAAAATGACTGGTTTTGTAAATGGAGTCTGGTCAGCTGTAGCGCCTATTGTTTTGGTCTGAGATTCTGGTACTTAAGTCTGACATCTAGTGTAAAGTGAAAATCTCCCATCATACATCACACATCTGTTCACATTTATCATTGAAGTTTTCCCAGGTGTGTCCTTTTAATTTCATTTAACAAATAGAACCAACACTGAGTGAGCAGACAGACAGAAACCCCTGTGTAATATGATTAATAATCACTTTTTACTTTATTTTCACACATCAGAAAGTTGTAACTTATGTTAACTAGTTTATGCACTACTCGTGTAATGATTGAAATGTTTTTGTTTTTATTCAAATTTTGTAATGCAATTCCATACAACCGTCATGTGACACTAGTACCTTAATATATTTTAATTGGTGGTTAATTGGCAGGTCATTTTTGAGGTGTTGTATATTTGTATATTTTATGCACCAATGCACCAGGTCACATTCCTTGGCAATAAACATAATTCTGATTCTGATTTCTTAATGTCAACACACAAACAATTTACTAATAGAGAGCATTTAAAGCAATGTAATATGTATTGTAGTGTTACACCTCAGAGGTGTTTCTAATTAACTTTCCAATTCCAGCAGAGGGCACTACAGTTGAGGAGGTGCTGCTACTGTTATTAGAGTAGCAGCCTTTGAAAACTATTGAAAATCATGAAACATTGGCTATGTTGACAGTACAAACTGTTGGTTGTACTAATGTATTTTTAGTAACTGCTGCTGAAATAAGTGAGTGTGAACTGTTACCCGGTTCCTGCTGTTGGATCCGGTCTGTCTTCGCTGGGGCTGAGCTTCCTCCAGCCGTCCGTCAGGAAAGGCGTGCTTGTAAAAGCAATTTGAGCCAAAGGGGCAGGTTCCACGACCCTCGTCAAAGTATCGACATGGTTTACTCCTTAAGAAGACAAACCAGAGATTACACACAGCCAGTCAGACTGTGTCAGTGATTCAGAGCACTAAAACTGATCGCTCTTTGGGTAATGGATGTTTTCTCGGTGGAGCCTTTCATTAATTAAATAAAATGTTTCACAGATGAAGTCTGCACTGGACTGTTTTTCTCAGTCTTGCATCCGCCCACTCCCTGCAGTGTTTCCCACCATTACCACCCACTCATGCACATTCACCATCCCACTCTGATCACATCCACTAGCTCCACAGCTTTCTATTCAAAACTCCATCCTGCAGGGAAAATAATGAACTTTTAATTGCTTGTCCTCAACTGTTTAATAAAGCAGCTTTAGAAGACCAGAGGGGGATATCAAGAAGAGATTAATGGGTTAGTGAGGTACAGTGTGTTGAGCCTAGACAGAGTTTTCACTGTCATGAAGTTGTCTCTTTTAACCTGACTAGATGCCATGGTTACTTAGGCTGCACACCTAACCTGCTCTGGAGGAGGTTATGATCAGTTTGGGATGTAACTATTTTCATGATGATGCTCTCTATGATTGTTATAGATTCTCAGCTGAGGGAATGTTATATTCAGAAAGTTGTTGAGCCATATATTAGTAATGTAGCAGAAAAAAGCTGCGTAATTACAGTAGTGCAAACTATATGCATGGCATTACCACAGGAACCTACACGCATTGAGTTGGAGATGCAGGTTTACTTAATATTAATAGTAATAAATTGAATAGTAACATTCAAATATTACACAGCTCATCTTCCACACACTAATAGAATAATGCAGGCACAGCACAGGATGATGTTTTTAGGTTTGGTCCTATTTGGCTGCCAAGTCTGTTTTACCCTGCTGGTATTGCAGCCAATAAGCACAGAATGGAAAATGGCTTAGTCTATTAGTATTTATCACAGATAGTATTCAAATCAATAAAACTCTCACTCCGATTTGGCAAAAAACTAAAGTGATTTCCATGTATCCTACATTATGTGACAGTGGCTAACGTGCAGTTGTCACCTTAGTAATACACAATATAAATAATGATAAAAAAAACTATAAAAGAATGAACTTTCTGTATATTATTAATAATATACATTAATTTACATTCCTCTTTTGCCTTATTTGCAGCAA